AGACTGAAGATTTCAGTTGGAAACCCAGCTTGAAAGTGCTAGAAAGAACCTCCATCCACTGCAAACAACTATGACAAAAGAAGGATTTACTGAACTAAGGTCCCTTTCAATGGTACTGAGAACTCAAGACATTCACCAAGATACGTTTTCACACCCAAGAAAATGTGCTTATGATTAAGTATTATATAAATAATTCCATATCACACCAAATCACCATGCACTATGAAACAAATGCTGTATTTGATGATAGCAAGAACTGCAGATACTGGAGTCAGAGATAACACAGTGTGGTGCTGGAGGACCACAGCAGGCCAGGCAGCATCAGAGGAGCAGCAAAGCTGACGTTTCAGGTCGGGACCCTCTGCTGTATTTAATCCCTTCTCACATACTTAAAGGGGCTGTCTTCTAGATTTATTCTTTCACAATTAACAAAATTGTATTGCCAAATCTAAGCTCAACAATTAAACTACAATTACAGTTAAACTTCCCTGTGGTTAGTGCACAAGACAGTCTAATTTACAAATCTGAAGTTCCCTTGAACATAGCAACATCATAGCGAGAAATATGATTGAAATAATAAACATTAAAATTCTGAACTAATTGTAAAGTCATAGGGTTGTACAGCACGGAAGCAGACCCTTCAGTCCACCTCGTCCATGCTGACCTGATATCCTAAATTAATCTAGTCCCATTTGCAGCATTTGGCCCATATCTGTTTAAATCCTTCCTATTCATGTACCCACCCAGATGCCTTTTAAATGTCGTAATTGTAACAGCCTCCACTACCTCCTCTGGCAGCTCATTCCATACATGCACCACCCTCTGCTTGAAAAGATTGCCCCTTAGTTCCCTTTTAATTCTTTCCCCTCTTACCTTAAACTTATGGCCTCTAGTTTTGGACTCCCCTACCGTGGGGAAAAGACCTTGGCTATTCACCCCATCCTTGCCCCTCATGATTTTATAAACCTCTATCAGGTCACCCTTCAGCTCCGAAGATTTAGAGAAAATATCCCCAACCTGTTCAGCCTTTTCCTATAGCTCAAACCCTCCAAACCCAGCAACATCCTTGTAAATCTTTTCAGCACCCTTTCAAGTTTAATAACATCTTTCCTATAGCAGGGCAACCAGAATTGAACGCAGTATTCCAAAAGTGGCCTGACCAATGTCCTGTACAGCTGCAACATGACCTCCTCACTCCTATGGTCAATGCACTGACCAATAAAAGCAAGGGTACCAAATGCCTTCTTTGCTACCTGTCTACCTGCGACTCCATCTTCAAGGAATTATGAACCACATCCCAAGATCTCTTTGTTTGGCAACACTCCCCTGGACCCTACCATTAAGTGTATAAATCATGCTCTGATTTGTCCTACCAAAATGCAACACCTCACATTTATGTGGATTAAACACCATCTGCCACTCCTCAGCCCATCAGCCCATTTGATCAAGGTCCCATTGTTCTCTGACTTCTTCACTGTCCAATACACCACCAATTTTGGTGTCATCTGCAAACTTATTATTCACATCCAAATCATGCATATAAATGACAAAAAGCAGTGGACCCAGCACCGATCCTTGCGGCACACCGCTGGTCACAGGATTCCAGTTCAATAAAAACAGCCCTCTGCCACCACCCTCTGTCTCCTACCTTCAAGCCAATTTTGTATCCAAATGGCTAGTTCTCCCTGGATTCCATGTGATCTAACCTTCCTAACCAGAATATCATGCGGAATCTTGTCAAACATCTTGCTGAAGTCCATTTAGACAATGTCCACTGCTCTGCCTTCATCAATCTTCCATGTCACTTCTATATAGGAGTTACCACCTATATTAATGTATTTTGTGCATTATCATATTTTGCCTTCTCTTTTCTAATTTCCACAACTAAATACAAACACACAGAGATAAAAGTAAGAAAATAAACCCCCACTTGTCTATTTTACACCAGAGAGGTTATTGGTTGCTGATGTTGACGTTCTTTTCCTCAGTCTTTGTTGTCAACTCCTTTTTCAACTGTTAATTTACTTAATAGCTTCTGTAGTTTTCACAATCATTTTTGTTTGCTTGCATCTTTGCTCCAATTCTATTTCCACTCCTTTTTTAAACACATGCTCCAGTCTATATTCCCACCTGCTCCTCAGGATAAGCAGTGCACTTACATTACAATAAAACAACAAACAATGTTAGCATGGAAAACAACACAAGATACATTAGTTGCTTGTATTCTCCAAGAACCTCAGTACTTAAGGCAGCTAATATTAGTATTTCAAAGCCCTATATATTAGGTGACCCCAGCAATTTCTTCTCAATGGCACTTACATTTCACAGGATTTTCTACAATGATGTAAGCACCAAAATTACATTCAAAGGCAAAATTTGATCACACAGGTAACTTTAACCACATTTTATATTTAAATAAATAGAAATAACATTGTATCTTAATACAAATGTTCAGAGTTTAATTCAGTGGTATGTACATAAATTTAAAGCATTAACAAATATGCAGACATTTTAACAGCAGCACCAAGGACAAAGTGACTAAGGTTGAACACAGATCATAATTTTTGCCAGAAACAAAACTACAGACTATTCCCTCTGTAAGAAGCAACAGCACTTGCTAACATAATTTGTCCATATTCTTCTTCCAGCTTTAACTGCTTACACCAGCTTGACTGTACTGTCAACTGACAAGCTGCTTTCCTTGCAATCGAAGTTGAAATGGTTGTATTCATTCCAGGGTCTAAATTCACTGCTATCCCAATTATTTCCATCTCTAATTCAAACTAGTTACTTTTTAAAAGATCTTTTGTAACTATATTTTCTGGTGAATTTATAATTTGTTGTCAGACCACTGCCACAAGCACATTTCAAAACAAGGTTCTAAGGGCGTGTCACGTTAAACTTCAATCCAACCCAAGGAGATTGGAATTAATGGGTCTGAACTGCTCCCAAAACATTGGGGAAGTGGTCCCTTAAAAGGTCTAGGCATCATATATTTTCTGTTGTACAGGAATCTGCTAATGAAACTCATGCCTAAAGTAGCTACTGAGAAGATAAATAAAATACATTCTGGCTTAAAATGTTGCTCTTTGGGCACAGTATTCTCTCGGTTTCTGAAATTTATCAAATGAAAGTTCTGAGCCCATTCTTGCTGGGTGCGAGAATAGTTTTTTCTCTTCAGAGGTGGCCTCTTAATAGCCCAATTCAGGATGGTGGTTGTAACTTTCTAATCTGGAGGGTCAAGCGCAGGCTGTCCAGCACTGAAAGACCAGCAGCTGCACCATCACAAATGGACAGTGCTGAAGTAAGTTGGATGGTATGATGTCTCCTCAATCGTGGTCACCAACCACACATGAGAACTATAAGAAGGGCCAAAAGGACCATTGGACAAAAGGGAACAATCACCTTGCCACCCCCCCTCAACAACCTACCTCTCTATATTTGTTGATACTGCAACTGTCGTAGCCAATTATTTGGCAAGCATCTTCTCCATTAAATGGAGCCTATGGCTCTTAGGCCCATACCCCCACAACTTGATAGTTCTCAGCCCTCACATGCAGACATTAAATATCTGGTGCAGGCAGCTAATCTGCCTCTGGGACAGCTCCCTATCATTGTTTCATTGCCCTCCACTGCACCCGATGCAGTTTTCCACCCCAGGGTCAGGAAAGTACAAAATTAGAAAGTAAAGGTTTATGCTCCAGAGCAAAACATGCCATTCGTACAGCTGATACTGGTTAGCTTTTCTTTTGCTACGGCAATAAAAGGTGCCACCATACACATTATAAGCAAACATCTTCCAACTGGAGGAAAACTACAGGTGTAATCAGATTCTTGACACTTGCGTATAATGGTGTCAGGATACATGATGATAAAGCATATTCAGTGCTCGGACAGAGTGTTCTACAAGAAGCCTATTGTGTTTAAATTGTCGTTGGAAAAGTTTTGCGCAGGGTTCCACCTTATTCTGGCATTTAATTAATGAGAATATATGTAAGCTCTTGCCAGAAGAAGGTTCTGCCTAGTATTTTGTTGTTAGGGAAGATGACGGTTTGAGGACAAGAAGAAGCAGAGTGCACAGACAAGAAACACGCCTGCTCCACCCTGAAACCAGGCTACATGACAACACCATGAGCTCACACACAGCAGCAGGTTATCTCCCGGCTTCCTCCAGTTCCAGTGGCCAGAGACAAAAACTAGCCTTTCAACAGCACAGTTGCCCCGCGCTGGGAATATGATGCCCCTGCCTGAATTCCTGGATTGTTGGTGGCGAACAGTTTCGTTTCATAAGAACAACTGTTTCAGACGTAGGCGATGGAGGGAGCGGCGCTCTCAATGGCGATACAAACCAGGAAGGACCTGGCTACATTTAACAAGCGCAACTCACTCCCCACCGCCCTAACAGCCAGACCCAGGGCAGTACAGACTGGCCAGCAAATACAATTTAAACACCTTTCAACTCAAGACAGCGTCCCTCGCTAACACACCACGTCTGAACCCCCAAAGCGGGTTTTTTTTGTTGTTTTTACAGAGATAACAACAGAAAGATCTCTACATAAATCTCTGCCTCTCGCACCCCAGATGAATTTGCCTCTCGATGGTAATAGAGGAAGGAGCAAATTATTCACGAAGGCGCCTGATACTACCACAGGCTGAGGGCTAGGCGTCTTTCTATCTGAAACTGATCATCTCACTCGGCGGGAGCAATAGAGAGAGAAAAGGGGGGCAGCCTCTCTCCTGCAGCGGAAACTGACGAAGGGGCAAATGCGAGGGGTGGGGGAGCCTCTGCCTTTCCCTACTCCCGGGGGGATGGTCACAGCATTGTTCCCCCAAGAAATGTCACTGAGTAGTCAACAACCATCGCCAGCCCCGCTTCTGAACAACACAGAGATCTGACACCCTGTTTTATTCCATGTCTTTGTGCCGAAAAATAAAACAAAGAATCCCCTTTTGATCTACCCTGCAGCCACCTGGCCGGGGGCTCCCAGTTTGTCTCTTACCCGCTCCTCTGTTTGGAATCGTGGATTTTCTTGTGGCGGACAGGCTGCAGAGGGATACTATCCGACATATTTGCAGCACTAGCTCTGTCTGTGTCTGTCTGACTGGTGCTGGGTGGTGTGCTCTACCCAGCAGCCTCTCTCTCTCTCTCTATCCTTGTTTGTCAGCTTCCCAGGGTCAAAGGTACAATTTGGATACAGCCATGGCAACGATTTGAAGGTATTTCATAGACAACCAGTGGACAGTTACAGAAGACAGGTCCATCATTGTCTCGTTACAAGGTAGTGATAATCACTCTTGCTGGAAAACTGCCCCATTTTCCGCCCACCGAGGGAACAGTTCTTGGGATGTGATTTTACTGATAGCCTGAGCAAAATGTGATTTTACTGAATGTTGGCAGCCTATTCCGCACTTAAATCCAACAAGTTCTAATCCAAGGTCGACGTGCCCTTTCTAACAGTTGCTGAATTATTATAGGTAATAACCAGACTATTTTTGCTCCTTGCTCTTGCTGAAGCCAATTCCACCATCCCCTGCCATTGATTCAAGCTCATGGCCACCGTGTGAAAATCAACTGATTAAGGAGTATCTATCTTGCTCTCTAAGATTTACTGCAGTGCCATTACAAACGAAGAACTCACACACTTGCAAATTATTCAGGCTGAGGTCTTGTTCGACTGCGCAAGTAGTTACAACTAACAGAAAAAAGGAACAACAAAAACCAATATTTGATCTTACTCTGAGTTCTGAGGAAGGGTCACCGGAACCGAAATGTTAACTCTGTTTTTTCCTTCACAGATGCTGCCAGACCCGCTGAGCTTTTCCAGCAATTTCTGTTTTGTTTCCTGATTTACAACATCCGCAGTTCTTTTACTTTTTATTTTGATCTTACTCTGCCCAATTCATTGTCAGGCTTGACAATACACCAACGGGGCCCACACTTAGGTTGTGAAACTTTAACATATCTTCCTCTGAACTTCTCATTGATTTCATTTAAACATTCCTTCACATTTTAAATGAGTTTGCAATGTATGACACATATTGATCATAAATGCTACAGATTCTGAGAGATGTACAGCACAGAAAAAGGCCCTTCAGCCCAGGTCAAAAGCAAGCACCTAACTATTCTAATCCCAGTTTCCAGCTCTTGGCTCATAGCCTTGTATGCCTTGGCATCACAAGTGTACACCTAAATACTCCTTCAATATTATGAGGATTTCTGTCTCTACCACAATTACAACTGTTCCAGAATTTCCACCACTCTCTGGGTGGAAAAAAAGTCCTCACATCCCCTCCAAACCTTCTGTCCCTTACGTTAAATCTATGACCCTTGGTTATTGATCCCTCCACCAAGGGCAAAGTTCCTTTCTGTTTACCCTAACAATGGCCCCTAAAATTTTATATCTCAATCATGCAACATCCTCACCTCCCCCACATCTCCTGTTGCTGCAAGGGACAAGAAAAATCTATCTATCCAAACTTTTTTTCAAAACTGACATTCTCCAGCCATGAAATCCAACACTGTAGTTCTAAGAAAAACAACAAAACAAAAATATGATAAAGAACTGTGATGCTGAAGATCTGAAATAAAAACAGAAATTGCTGGAGAAACTCAGTAGGTCTGGCGGCATCTGGGAGAGAAAGCAGAGTTAACGTTTCGAGTCCAATGATCCTTCAAAGAATTCACTGAAGGCAAATACATATTAATCGATTAAAACCTTCTAACAGATTAAAGATTTAATAGCATTTTAGGTTTGTTCAGTAGATCCTCATCAGTGGTGTGACCCTTTGATCTTTTACATATAAATTCTGTGTCTGATACTACCTCTCTCACTAACACCTGAAGGAGTAAGACTTCGAAAGCTTGTGTTTTCAAATAAACCTGTTGGGCTATAACCTGGAGTCGTGGATTTCTGACCTTGTCCATCCCAGTACCACATCGGCACCTCCACATCATGGTAATCTTGGTCAAGCAGGCTACTTTTAATCATTTGCTTGAGGTATGAGATTGTTGTTTGTGCTGGTTTTAACAAGTTACCAGAGAAAACAAAAATGAGAAAAGTAGAAGATAATAAGCATTTAAAATTGTCTTTTAGTAGAGACTTGTTGAATTAAATGGATATTATTACCTTTTAGCTAAGACATTTTGGCAAGTTTTCAATCCAATATACTGTGTTCAGTGTTGAGAATAATTCTTACTTTACTAATAAATAAATATCCATGTCTATATTTTTGTAACTTTTTAAAATGAGTTTACTTCTACATTGGGTACACAAATCCATTCATAAATTCATTATAAAGGCATTTCCTTACAATGCCTTAAAGCAGCTATTTGAACAAATTTCTTCTCCTATTTATGATTCGTGCTCCATGTAATAAGCCAGTATTACAACTTCTCGTCCTTTCTGAAAGCAAGAATTGTATCCATGTGGATTGAGCAGGTGGATGGGGAGAAGAATTGTGATTCTATGCAGCATCTCACTAACTATATTTCACTATTATTTATAGATTTTCATTTTACTGCTTACATTAGTAGTAAACAGCTGAACAGAACAGCAACAGATCTTTTCAGCAGAGGCATTAAATCTTGGTCTTGTGTGAGTTTGCTAATGTTCAGTTTTTAGAATTTTATTTGTTTGTATTCTTACAATACTGAAATGCCTAATGCTTGGCATATATACTCAACATGATTTGGTCCATGAAAAGACATTCTTGAGATATACTTGTTCAAACAAAATCTGCTAAATACATTAATGTTTGGATCAACCCCCTCTTTGCCCAGATTAGTGAACATTAAGCAAATATAATAAAAGCAATGATGAGAAGAAATAGACCTCACCATTATATAGCATCTGTAACACCCTTTTGGGTAGTCCAGAGCATTCAAATTAGTGAATTCTATATGAAAGTAACAATTGTTACACAAGCAAAAGATGTGTCTATTTGCCAATCATGGCCTTCTTCTGCACCATAACGATTCAATGATCAGAACTTGAGAATGTTAAATTGGAGTACATGGGAAACTGACGGAAAGAATACGAGAGATTTCATAGGTGGCAGATACTACTTAATATGGATTTGAGACACAATACATCTTACAAGGAAAACAAGATGTGGGAGTAAAAACCTATTAGAAAGATACTGAATGATGTGGATAAATAGTGACTTTGGCATTCAAACATATAAGAAATAAAAGCAGAAAACACTGGGAATATACAACAGGTCTGGCAGCATCTCTGGAGAAGAGAAACAAGAGTTAACATTTCAAGTCAAAAATGATACAAATATAACTTCTTCACATTTTGAGGAACCGTCAAATTCAGCTCAAAATGTTAACTGTTTCTCTATCTGTAGATACTGCCAGACCTGCTGAGTATTTCCAATATTTGTTTTTATTTCAGGTTTCCAGCATCTACAGTAGTTTTATTTTAGTGCTCAAATATATAATTTGGTGCATGTCTGAGCACAGATTGTTAAAGGTATTAAAAATGCCAGCATCACCTATTTTAAAATTAGTGGCAAAGCATTCACGAGTTAAGTAATTTGTGTCTTTGGCAAGCTATAATTTTACAGAATTATTTCGAGTCAAACCATTTAGTCCGACTGGCCTGTGCCTATAGGGTTCCAAAGAAGACATACAGTCTCAAAACGTTATTTCTGTTTGTCACTCCATAGATTGTGCCAGACCTGCTAACTTTCTCTCACACTTTCTGTTTTAATTTCAGATTTCACCGCCTGTGTGATATTTTGCTTTGAATTAGCCTGTGTCAATATTCCTCACAAGCCTCCATCTATTCTGCTTCTATCCTACTATTCCTTTCTCTGTCCCTCCCATGTACCTGTAGCTTCTCTTTAAATACATGTATCCGTATGCTAATAACCTCAACTACTTGTTGTAGGAAGTTTCGCATTTTAACTATTCCGAGTAAAGAAATTTCTCCCAAATTTCCTATTGGACCGATTAGTCATTATATTTATTGCCCTAGTTTTGGTCTCCAGCACAAGCAAAAGCATTACCTCCACTATATAAAATAGAAAATGCTCTAATAATCAGCAAGTCAAATAGTATTTCTGGAGAAAAGAAGTTAATGTTTCAGATCTGCAACTTTTCATCTGGCTGTTCTGATGTAAGGTCACAAACCTGAAATATTAATTCTATTTTTCCTCTCCAGGCTGCATTGAACTGTTCACCCTCAAATGCTAGACAATGGTAAAGAACATGAAGGTGCTGAACAACCAGAGCTACCCAAGTTCACAGACCAGTCATTGCAAGATTCTTCAGTGGAAATTTGACAGCAGCCTTTCATCTACTTTGCTGGAGCCATTGAGCATGCACCTCATAGGACCACTAGAATTCTTATTTGTTCACAAGATGTGGGTATCTCTTGCTGTCCATCTATAGTTGCACCTTCAGTGATGAGCAATGTTCTTGACTTACTGAAGCCCATGGGAGCCAGGAACATGCACAGTACTGTTAAAAAGGGAGTTTCAGATGACAGTGAAGGAACATTGGTATAGTTTCAAGTCAGGATGGTTTGGCAGGACATGCCTTTGTCCTTCTAGTTGTTAAGAGATCACAGATTTGAAAGCGCTATCAAAAGAGCCTTGGTGAGTTGTTACAGTGAGTCTTGGACATGTTGCACACCATTGCTTCTGTGCCTCAGTGGTGGAGGAAGTGAATGGGGCAAGTTTTAGATGGGGTGCAAATCAAAGGACTGAGAGATTTGGCTTGGATGGTGTCAAGTTTTCTGAGTGTTGTTGGAGCTGCACTCATCCAAACAAGTGGCAAGTATTCCATCACACTCCTGACTCAAGTCTTGTAAGTGGTGGGGAACTAACAGGAGATACTTACAGCAGAATTTTCAATGACTAAACGTTGCAGTGATGGTAATGTCAAGGGGTGATGGTTGGATGCCCTCTCATTTGAGATGGTCATTGCCTAGTACTTATGTGGCACAAATGTTATTTGCCACATATCAAAACAAGCCTCGTTGTTATTCAGGTTTCTCTACGTAGGAACATGGGCCACTTCAGTATCTGAAGAATCACACAGTGCTGAACATTGTCACTGATGATTGTGCATCCCTCCACTTATTTTACAATTGAAGGTCATTAATGA